CCAGTGAACCTAGACTGTGTCTGCAGTCGGGGCATGTTCTACGCTGGCCTATGCTCCGCAGTGTGGACGTAGCCTTAGAAGTGGGAGTGGGGAGGAGATGGGGGGAGGAGGAGTTTAAACTACGTTGACTGAGAGTTGCTTTGGGACAAAGAATGACTTGGCGTTCGTGGCACCAGACTGGGACCCGGGAGAGCTAGGTGGCGTTCCGGGGGGTGTCATTGATTTCAATCAGTGTTGGGCAGGGGTGAAAGTAAAGGCAAAGACTTACCGGTACGGAGCCGGCTCCACCCCTGTAAGGAGCGGGGCCTCAGGAGAAAGGGCAGGGCTGGAGTCACGTTCCCCCAGCCAGCCCTTCCACGTTGCCTGGCCTGCACCGCCCAGGGCTCCAGATCACCGGCCCCAGGGCAGCTGCTCCTTTTGCACACACACCCCCGTTGGCGGGCCGGCGGGGGGAGCAAAAGGGACAATGACATTAAAGCGTTGCCGCGGCAGCACTTTAAAGTCAGCTGGCTACAGGCCGGTACCGGTGGCCACTTTTTACCGGAACGCCGTACCGGCTTATTTTCACCCCTGCTGTTAGGTGCCCAGATACCACTGAGGATTTGTGCTTCCGTTCCCCATCTGTATAAAGGGGATAACAGCACCGCCCTGCCTCACGGGGGCGATGGAAGATCAACTCATTCATGACTGTGAGGTGCTCAGACACTACACTGGTGGGAGCCCTGGAAGTACCTAGTTACAGCTCCCAGACTGCTGCACTGGGCAGCACAATATGGGGAGAAGGTGACCAGCCCTCTGTGGAGAAAGAAGTGGTTCGGGACTATTTAGAAAAACTGGACGTGCACAAGTCCATGGGGCCGGATGCGCTGCATCCGAGGGTGCTAAAGGAGTTGGCAGATGAGATTGCAGAGCCATTGGCCATTATTTTTGAAAACTCATGGCAATCGGGGGAGGTCCCGGATGACTGGAAAAAGGCTAATGTAGTGCCCATCTTTAAAAAAGGGAAGAAGGAGGATCCGGGGAACTACAGGCCAGTCAGCCTCACCTCAGTCCCTGGAAAAATCATGGAGCAGGTCCTCAAGGAATCAATTATGAAACACTTAGAGGACAGGAAAGTGATCAGGAACAGTCAGCATGGATTCACTAAGGGGAAGTCGTGCCTGACTAACCCAATTGCCTTCTATGATGAGATAACTGGCTCTGTGGATGAGGGGAAAGCAGTGGATGTGTTATTCCTTGACTTTAGCAAGGCTTTTGATACAGTCTCCCACAGTATTCTTGCCAGCAAGTTATAGGCTGGATGAATGGACTGTAAGGTGGATAGAAAGCTGGGTAGATCGTCGGGCTCAACGGGTAGTGATCAATGGCTCCATGTCTAGTTGGCAGCCGGTTTCAAGCGGAGTGCCCCAAGGGTCGGTCCTGGGGCCGGTTTTGTTTAATATCTTTATTAATGATCTGGAGGATGGTGTGGACTGCACTCTCAGCAAGTTTGCAGATGACACTAAACTAGGAGGCGTGGTAGATACACTAGAGGGTAGGGATCGGATACAGAGGGACCTAGACAAATTAGAGGATTGGGCCAAAAAAAACCTGATGAGGTTCAACAAGGACAAGTGCAGAGTCCTGCACTTAGGACGGAAGAATTCCATGCACTGCTACAGATTAGGGACCGAATGGCTAGGTAGCAGTTCTGCAGAAAAGGACCTAGGGGTCACAGTGGACAAGAAGCTGGATGTGAGTCAACAGTGTGCGTTAGCACCCAAAAACCCAAACCCCACATTACACCCCCCAC